TGATGAAAAAATATATTAAAATGTTGATCAAAATTCTTAAAAATTGACTCTATAAATAAATTCATGACAAACAATACTGAACGAAGGGAGTAACTTTTAGGTCTTAAATGTAGAAAGTTGGAAGAAAGAGTTGCTAAAAAAGAAAAATAGACATTCTTTTTAGGACAAATTGAGAAAAATAAATTGATATAGAGGGGATATATATATATTATTTTAGGCTTTTGATTTTATTATTGCATATTGTTTCCTTTGCTTCGATTATTACTTATCTACGAAAAACAATCTTTTTACCTTCGCAAAGCAAGGTCGGTCTCGAGTCACTGTATTTTTGTAATCATGCGTGCTAAAGCAAAGCAAAACAAGAACAAAGTTGGACTAATTACTTAATATGCTACATTTTGAAACTGTTATAGTAACAAAAAAATAATAATGAGGATTTATGTGCTAATGTGAAACAATTTCAACTACTTCTTGGTCATCTCGTTCCTTCACCCTTGTGATTATAGGACATTGTTCGTTATATAAACCATCCATAATCAGAGGCGGACCCATATTCATATTTGGGGATGCACGTGCAACTGTTAAACTTTAGAAAAAAGTTAGATGTATATCTATCTTGAGAAATTTTTAGAAACTAGTTGCGCTCCCATGAGGAGTATAGGAATGCCCTTGTATCGCTTGTACAGGCTAGAGGAACCTCCTAGGAAACTTTTCTCTGTTGTTTTTATTTTAAGTTTATTGGTGCACACAAAGTCTTCAAATTCTGAGTTCACCTATGTGATCATGATGTCGTCTTCATGGCACCATATATTCAACATTCATATCTAGTTCTTGTATACATTGTGAACCAATTCCTCGTCTTATTGAATTTACGCTAATGGTTTATTCTTCCACATTGACAGTCCACCACAGGGTATTCTCCGCGAAAGACAATAGTAACCCGCGTTATACGCTACAATCACACTTATGCAACCCCATCAGTCTCAAAACAGCCCCTGAAGAAACTGGAAATCCAACTAAATTGTACACTTGGGAACCTCACAAGAACTTGCCCTGCATCTTACTACCCGTTGAAGTTCACCGAACAAAATGAATCCTCTACGTCATCTTCTCCGCCGCCTACATGTCCAGATTACTTTCGTTGGATCTACGATGACCTATGGCATTGGAGAGAAACAGGAATCACCAAAGAAATGGTGATGAGAGCCAAAAGAACGGCAGATTTTCGGTTGGTGATAGTGAATGGAAGAGCATACGTTGAAACCTATCATAAGGCATTTCAAAGTAGAGACACATTTACATTATGGGGCATTTTACAAATGTTACGTAGGTACCCTGGTAAAGTACCTGATTTGGACCTGATGTTCGACTGTGTCGACTGGCCAGTTCTAAAGACTGAATTCTATCGACACCCTAAGGCCCCTGTTCCTCCACCTCTGTTTCGATACTGTGGGAATGATAGTAGTTTGGATATTGTCTTTCCAGATTGGTCATTTTGGGGATGGTACGAACCTCAATTTTCTCGCATACATATTGATTTGATAATCTTATATGCTTTATTGAACTCTCTTTTTGTTCCGAAAACATTGTGTAGGCCGGAGATTAATATAAAGCCGTGGGAGACTTTGTCGAAGGATTTGAAGAAAGGGAATGAGAAGATGAAATGGACCGAAAGGGAACCATATGCATACTGGAAAGGCAATCCTGTTGTTGCTGAAACCAGGAGGGATCTTCTCAAGTGCAATGCTTCAGAAAAGCAGGACTGGAATGCACGCGTATATGCTCAGGTATCTTGTTCTACCACATATGTAATCATCAGTTGCGGACACAGGATTTTCATTAAGGATTGTCAATGGTTATAGCAAAAAAATATTATAAATAGGCTAGTAGGACTTAAACAGTATAGTATTTGTAAATCCCTAACCAATAGACTAGACCTTCAACTTGTTTCGAGAGGTGTCAATTTATGTATTTATATTTATAAAACTAAAATTTAACCACTACATATAAAGGACTAAGGGTGTCGCTCAACACCCATTGGACCAAGATAGGTACGCCACTGGTAATCATGTTTGTTGTCGCATGTCAGAAATTTAAGTGATGAATCTATGAATATATGTAGGACTGGGCTCAAGCAGAGAAGCAAGGGTACAAGCAATCAGACTTAGCTAATCAGTGCATCCACAGGTACGAAAAATAAAGTTGTTTCTCTTACCGGTTTAGCTTTATTTTTCGTTAACATGTCCATGTTTGTTAACTATATCTTCCTAAACGTTGTCCGATTTTTCTCTCTTCTTCATTATGCAATTATGTCAGGTACAAGATTTATGTAGAAGGATCCGCATGGTCCGTGAGTGAAAAATATATTTTGGCATGTGATTCTGTTACGTTACTTATAAAACCCCAGTACTACGATTTCTACACCAGAGGTTTGATGCCTCTGCAACATTACTGGCCCGTAAAAGATAAAGACAAATGCCGATCAATCAAGCATGCTGTTGATTGGGGGAATACTCATGAACAAGAGGTAATCTATAACCCGACCCCAAACTCATCACTGTCTTCACCATCTTATTGGCATTGTCCGGTAACTTAATTCTTTGGTGAATAACATAGGCACAGGCGATTGGCAAGGCAGCTAGCGATTTCATTCAGGAACAATTAAAAATGGACTATGTGTACGATTACATGTTCCATCTCTTGAGTGAGTACGCAAAGCTGTTGAAATACAAGCCAACTGTACCTCGTAAAGCAGTTGAGCTTTGTTCAGAAGCAATGGCATGCTCAGCTGAAGGATTGACAAAGAAGTTCATGTTAGAATCTATGGTTGAAGGCCCCTCAGACGCGACACCTTGCAACATGCCACCTCCATATGGCCCTGCAGGTCTTCACTCTATTCTTGATAGAAAAGAAAATTCAATAAAACAAGTTGACTCGTGGGAACAGCAATACTGGAAGAACAAAAGCAAACAACAACGAAGATTTTAGTTTTTTTTTCTTCTTTTACACGTAGTAAGGTGTTGTATTATTCATCATATACATTGTAATGAAGCACACGAACGATAAACCTTGATGTTGAGATAACATATGTTTTGAAGGAAAACAATTCAGAAAAGAAGTTCTGTTTTGTTTCATTGTATAAGCGTTTGTAATAATATATTCATTTGAAATTGAATGACTTGAAAATATAACGGAATTAGTTAATCTAAAATGCAACAAGAGCAATAATCAGATGTTTTATTCAGGAGAAAAACCACCATTTGATACAGAATGCTGTGTAAAGGCATTACATGAGAGTGACTCAGTAGGCTCGCGATTTAATAAGATCTAAGCTCATTTCACTAGGTTCAGTTGCTTGCAATTCGACTTGAATTCCATCTAGTTCTCTCTTGAATCTGTCCTTTGAGCTCGCGTACACCATCTTCATCCTCACTGTTGATGATTCAGGTGACCTAAAACACATATAATCATGGCTATTATTAGTTAGAATCAGGACAAATGTTCTGTTTTTTTTTGTCAAATGGATATTTATGTATACCAGGCAATAAAGAAAATCTTGCTCTTCTGTATATTTTCATTAGTTGTGAAGTCGAAATCAAAGACAGCATAACGACATTCATCGGGAGGGAGAGAGTTAGTGAAATTGTCGTAGCTTTCTTCTGGACTTCCAAGTTTCTCTACCACCACTTCCTGACCATCAATCTTGAAGATAATGAACCTGTAGTTTCTCTTTGCTTTTAGTTCTAAGAATTTTAGCTTACATTCATCTTGTACTGCCGTTCCAGACACAGCATTTGCCTGATACACATATATTTGTCAAACGTCATGAAGAAAATTCAAATGAAACAACAATAACAATAATTGATAAATCCTAAGACAAGATCATCAACAATAACAAGTATATATATTATGAAACGTCATTATATTGGTGCTTACGCACTTGGTATCAAAGAGGTGACACATGACACTGCTTCGTAATTTTTATGTATAGAACAATGGATAATGATAATATTGAATTTTGCTTACAGAAACTCCGTGTATGCCAATGGATGCATTCACTCAACAAACATGAAAGATCCATTTTTTTTCTACCGTGGAAATATATTATATATAGAAATGTTTTTTTTTTTTGAAAATTATATGCTTAGTGAGTGCACCATGATCCATCTGTAAAAGTTTTACACTCTAAAGTTGGATATGAGAATATAAAAATATATATATAAAAAAAAAAAAAGTGTCGAAATGACACAGGCCTACTACAGATGTTCAAAATAAACAAAGCCTACTTAAAATGAGGTGTCTAAAGTAGAAGTTGGTGTCATCCACCGATATATTTGTTAATATGTATAACATGAGAAAATGGTGATTGAAAACAAAAATGAAACAATGTGTGTGTATATATATACCATGGTGTCGTGTAATGTAATTATGAAATAGAAAAGGATCTCTGCCTGCAAAATTGATAGAGAAAAAAAAGGATAAAGGGGTGGGGGGATAGAGGAGAAAATGGTAGAGATCCTTCAATCTACAAGAGAAAAAACACAGTCTAGCTGGTTTATTATTTATAATAAATAATAAATAATACGAAAGAAAAATTCGGAGTTTAAAGAGGAAATGTTAGATAAGGGGTTGTGAGTATTCTGAGCTATTTTTGAGGCTCATTAATCATTTAAGTCACCACCACGACCATTCTTTGTCAACTGTCATATAATTCCCTGTTGAACTTCGTTTGATAACCGTGACGAGATAAATAAGAATATTTTATCTTATTGTCAATTTGGTGTAGTAATATATCGTTTGTATCTCAAACCAAGTATAAAATAAAATTAATCCCAAATTTTATTCAGTTTCTCCCTAATTATACAAATGTTAATTTACACTTCAACAAAAATCCTTCTCTATTTTATATTGTTGGCACAATATTCATTTGAAATGCAATACTCTAATTTGATCATCCTACTAACTCAAAGTACAACATCTAAGGACCAGGTCAGCAGAAGTAGAACTAGGAAACTGAAAAAAAAGTTAAACGCACTGAGTGTTTACATCAAGCCAATGCAATTAACAAAAACAAAAACAAAAATGGTGGATACACAGTTAACTAATGAAAAGAGGAGTAGAAAATAGTCCTAATCTATATTTTGTCATACTCAATAGACACCATTAAGCATTAGCACTCTCCAATAATTTGTCATTTTAAGTGTTCTAATTTTCTGCCGTATTTTGTGTTCCTCAATAAGTAGAGGAGAAAAGTATTGCAAATCAAAATTTGAAAGTGAATTGCAGTTGTTGGACAAGAAATTTGGATCAGTTTCAAGAAAACCACTTTCCAGGATCATCGGTTCTTCTGGAGATTCATTCATCCTACAAAGTTAACAACTTTAGGTTCTTTTTTCTTCTTTAATTTAGCATCATCGTCTTCATTAACATCATCTGCCTTGAAGTTGAAGTCATCCTCAAGATCATCCCCACTGCTGAGTTTGGTAACTTGTCCCCTTGGCCGGTCTTCAAATTGAGCTGTCAGAAACAAGGGAAAGGTCACAAAAAAGGTGGAACAGTTGAAACCAAACCAACACTAGCAAGCAGCATCCATTACCAACAAGCCACAAGCATACAGTAAAAAAAAATCTATGAGGGTATGTTTGTAATCAATCAGGGAGCAAACAAACGTCCACCAAAAGTTATTCACATGACATAAATTTCTCTTCATGCAACCAAAGGAGTGTATGGAAGAGGACATGAGAAGGTCCAGACTTTATATTGAAATGGGACTAGAGTGACTGACTTATGAGGCCTTTAATTATATACAAAAAAATATGATAAAACAGACGACTGTAGCTTGATTAATTCTCTTCTGAACCAAAAGTAATTGGCTTGGCTGTGACATGGCCAAAACCTGTTCAACTGAGCAGATAAAGAAAAAAAAGTTGACAAAGTTGTTGGACTGTCTTTATACCGTCGAGAGAAAAACAAGACTAGGTCATGCACAAGAGAAGTAGAAGAGATCAAGTGCTCTGTTTGTCAAGTTATAAGCAGCCTTGCTAAATCTGCAACTATTGAGGGCCAAATGATTAGGTATGTAGGACATGAGCCAAACTGAATGACAAAGAAGTTACAGTGTGGACATTATGATGATAGCATATAAGTTAATATGTTGGCGGTCATTTGGTAGAGTGTATTAGCAATAAATAATGCATGCATTAGCTATATGTATTAGTGGTACCTTGTTTGGTGCACTTTTTCATGCTATGTGTAACTACTGCAAGCACTACTTATACACTCTATTGTGTATTGGGAAGTGTATGACTAACACCATGGTTTCTAAGTATTAGTAAGACAGAGATTCAGTGTGTATTAGCATGATTAAAGACCCAATTATCCCTCAAAACCCTTTTTACATCTTTTTCACCATAATTATGGAGGATATTTTTGTAAATAAATTTTTTATACAATGCATTATATTTTTTATAAACTAAACAAAACAACGCCTAAGAAATAATCTATGTATAGCTAATAGAAGCATAACTAATACAAGCATTACTAATACACTCTATTCAACATTATTTTTATATACTCTACCAAACGACCCCTTAAAGAGATACTTAAACATTTATAAAAAATGATAGCATACAAAAGGTTGCAAACAGTAGAAATCTTTTTGATATATCTTTTTTCCTAAAAGTGAAGACAAAACTAGAAGTGGCGAAGAGCAAAGTAATGGAATAATATATTAAAGTACGTACAAATTTTAAATCTACCAATGGCCGCATCAGAAGCTTTGCCAGATTTATTAGGACAGTCTCTTGCCAAATGTGTAACGCCACCACAAATTTTGCAACAACCACCCTGCAAACAAAAGTCATCAAGAACTTGAACTTCTAACCTCCTGTGAAATTAACGTTTTTAAGTTTCCTTAGAAAAAAGCTCATTTTGATTGAGTAAACATGGACGTATCGAACCAGCATCAGAAGGTAGCTGTGAAGTGATTGAAAATAAAGGTTGAAGCCAATAGAATATATGTACCTTTGGGTATATGCCATGAGTATTTTTAGGGCAGTCCTTACTCAAGTGACCTTGTTCTTTACAAATAAAGCAACTGGCAAACTTTGTTCCACCTGCATAATTGAGAAAACAACATGATTATACTAAAATTAAAGAAAAGAAACAAGGAAAATCTTTCTAAGAAAATAGATATTATTGTTAGATCAACTTCAATAGACCCTTGGAAAAACAAGGGTTACTCAATCTGAATAGCACATATATAGCAAAAGTTTAGCATATGCTAATTTTTGAAGCACTTCAGTTTTGGCGGTTGCATATACTCTCTTTTTGTCTCCACCAAAGAAATTCTGAAACTAATTTTTTAACTCAGCATTAACTCAATTTAGGTCAACTCTTATTTTGTAAGTATGGATTAATGGAGTTTGATTGGTCAAGACAACACTATAACAATTAACCAATACCCTGACCCTGTCAGTTGGTTCAGGAACTAATTTAGTAGTTTAGCCTTAATTATTCAATGTTTAACACTTCCATACTGCATATTACAAAGTTGATACACAGAGTACATGAAATATAGTGGACCAGTATTGAAATTACGACGAGGAGGACAAGTAAAAAGTTCACAACCTGAAGAAACGTATGCACCCAAAAAAATTAATAAAGAAGTAAAAGAAATTACATTGTTCACGGAATGAAGACAAGAGATACTACCAGATAAGGTCAAAGGAAAAATACCATCTTGAAGCGGATAGGGGCAGTTAGCCAAAGAATGGCTTGTTTCCCCACAATTGTAACATAACTTCTTATCCACTACTTCATCATTCTTGTTGGGGCAATTCTTCAGGCTGTGACCACGTCGGCGACAAAGCAAACATATCTTCATAGACACATATCAACCAAAGAAGCAAAAATCAAAACGAGGCAATAATATTCTTCTAGTGTAGCAAAACATCATCTCAGATATCATTGAGCAGTGCCACTATAAGTCAACACTAAATAAATTCTGTACAAAGGCCACGTTTGGTATGACTTCAGTTGTTTTTACCAGAAAAGGAAAAATTTTACCTAAGAAAATCATCTGCTAAGTCATTTTCCAATGTTCCATTGATAATAAAAGTTGGTGGAATCAAGAGTGGCGGAGGCTGGACTGACCACCAACGGTAGTGTTAGGTAACAATTGGAAAGGGCTATTTAGAAGTTAATTGGGATTAATGATATGAAATAAACATATTTTCTTAAATAAGCAAACTAAAGTACAATGCACTATGAATCTAGTTATGGAGTATTAAGTTCATAATAGAATTCATCTATTTGCTGTAAATCGACAGTTTTAGCAGTCAAACTCTGGAATGACTACACCATGGAGAACCGAACCGAACCAAAATATCAAAGCATTATCATTCATTTAAATAACATGTCAAAATAACAAGACGAAATGAAACAATAGATTCAATTCAATTTTCATTCATTTTTCGTTTATTATTCCCTATCGTATTGTTTGTCGTCGTTTATGTTCTGTTACTATCTCTTGTTACTCGTACTTCCATTGAAGCTGGTGTTAGCATTACCAGCCCTATCATAAACTCCAGCACAGTATCATAAACATTGCAATACAAAAATATACACAACAATTGAAAAAAAAAAATTGTACCTTATTCTTTTCCCATTCAGCTTTTCTAGGGCAATCCCTGGCAATATGGTCATGTTCTTTACATATAAAACAGCTTTCACCAGGCTTCATTCCAGCGACTCTAAAAGGATGCTTAGTAAATGAACGTTTCTTATTAGGATCTTTGGATTCTCCTTTTTTCTTCTTGAAAGTGCTCTTCTTCTTCTTTTTCTTGTTCGGGTCTTTGGGCGGAGTTGGTTCTGGCTTAGGGAATAGTTCAGGATTAGCTTCCTTGTATCGTTTTCGAGCTATTCTCTGCCTTTTGCTCACCATTTTTTCTTACAGTATGATTCCTCTGCTTCTGCTTTATGAATTAAAGGAAGTAAATTTACAGCAGCTCCAAAGGTTGAATGAACACAAAGCTGCGAGTTGAAGACGAGGGTTTTGTGAGGGTTTTGGATACACAAATTCGACATTACAGCCCGATTTCGGATCGCCCAAATCTTCATGGGTTATCGGATCCGGGACAAACAAAGCTAATTTCTCCGCCGTCCAAGTGTCTTTCTCTTTCTTGTTTTATATAATTCGTTTTATACAATTTGCTTCAATTATATATATAGCGAATTATATAGTTTTTATATTTGTTATGGAGCGCAATTATGTAAACTTTGTTATGACATACAAATATAAATTTTTTATTTGTTATATGTGAAAGTTGCCCAATTCAATAACAGTCCAAAACTATTGAGGAGGATCAGTTTGGACATTAAGCTGATTTTTAAATTATCATTTGCAATTTTTAAAATATAAAAATTAATTTACAAATTTATATTTTGTAAAAAAAAATTTACATTTATATTTACTTTACTTCATATGTAAATAAAATTTATAATGTATGTGATTACTTTTATAATTATTTGTATCTCATATGATAATTATTTTCACTAACATGAAATTTATTATTACTTCAAATAAGTTTCTACTTTACCGTTTAAATTCTTCAAATTTATTTACTAACAAAATTTACTACTACTTCATTCAAATCAACATTTAATAAATAATATAGTGTTTTATTATTATATTGAGTAGACAAAACCGACCGTTGTGGCATTAATTGAAAAAATTAATTACAAACGATTGAAAAATACACGTTCAATGTGTGAAGATGTAATATATGGAAGGATTATATTATAAATTAGTACACTATAACTTATGTTATGTTTTTATTGAATTAAAATTCGATCAATAAGTATTATATACATAAAATATTCAAATTATATATCCAAACATAATTTTAACTTTGTCTCAATATTTTATATCGCATGAACAAATAAGCCTCAAGTATATCCAAATTATTCGAATTAACTCGATTGGTAAATATTTGATAATTAAGACCTGCTAATTTCAAAATAAATTTAATTCATACGAGAATTGATTTTTTTTTTTTAAAAAAAAAAAGATAACAAACGACAAAGCTAAAAATTAATCAAAGAGAACCACTTGATATTAGGGTTGCTTATCGGGCGAATAATTTCTCTTAACGATTTGACCTAACATATATTGATTTTTAAATGTACTAGTCCGCTAGCAAACCTAGAAGATATCGATTAGTTCAATGACATATTAGCACTTATTAGGCGGTTATCAAACGATGTATTGACTAACATCTACCTTTTTTCCTCGATGGACACACTTTAAAAGATGAATATTTTCCCCTATTTTAAATGTAGTTAAATTATAAAGTCGATACTAAAAAAAATATATATATATATATAGATTAGTAGTACATGTAATAGTTAATACTAACAGATAAGTAAATAGTTTTTGATGTTTTTGGCTTTACAGATTAACAATATATACTTTATATATTATGGAAAGATTATTAAATGATGCTAATACCTAAATTAAAAGTGTAAATGTGATAACTCTTAATAGGTTAACAGCTTATCCAATAATGAAATTGAATAATTAGTTACCACACCAATAAACTATAAATTATAAAATTTTAATATTTTCATCGCTGTCAGTAGATTACTTTGGCCCATCAAATGGCACAACTACAGTAGCTGTCTTGGCTTCCTCTTGCTCTGATGTACACTCCCTTTAGAGCTATCTTCAACTGCTCATGGCTAAATTGATCGGTTTTGGGTCAAACAGGAAGAACTAAAAGATTCCAAATCGTTTATTCTATAACCCAATACCAATAAGCTAATAAACTAATTTTACGATTGACTTATCAATTATCCTTCGATTTTAAATATTCCTATATACAAATTCATTTGCCGAGGATGGCTATAATATTATAACAAACTAAATCGTAAATTAAAAAAAATGAAATTTGATAACAAGATTCAAATAGTATCAAACACTTTGGGAAGGGTAAAAAAATGAATTTTGCTACTTATAGCCTACGCACAAAGCACAACTAACTTAACAACTACACTAATCACAAATTAAGCTAACCAATCGAAACTAAAACTAACTGCTCATAATACATGGATTAACATATCACCATACATAGATAAATATATGTATTTTTCAATAAAGGTGTTATTAATTTAATTGACAATATGTTGACTAACACTGAATCGATACCAAATCAATCAATATTAATATATTATATTAATCCAATAACAATTTTTTGTAAATTTTCAAAGTTAAGCATAAATATATCCAATCAAAAAACACAATGTATTATCAAGTTAGTATGTTATGTTGACACAAGAATATCAATTGAGTGAAATGTTGCTTGATGAGAAAGTATAATGATTAATGCATCTGGTCTCACTTGATCACTCCATGATATCTCACTCACTCCCTTTTTTTATTATTCCTGATAGGGTTAGACAATTGTACATGCACCCATGACCCATTAATTTTAGAAAAAATCATATGTTAGTATATTTATTTTGAGAAATCGATAAGAATTAAAATAGTAATTAACCGTGCACGTGAGAAGTAAAGATATTATGTCATCCGTCTCTATTTGGTTGTCTACTTTAAGAATGACACATATATTAAGATAATAATTATTAGCATAATGAATTTACAATTTTATCATTATTAATTATGGTTTCAAAAACATGAATTAAAATTTAGAAATTTTCAAGAAGTTTATATGAGAGAATAATATGATTTTTTTAATCCCTTTTTAATTCGTAAAATGAACAAATAAATAGGGACAATTAAAAAAAAGAAATATGAACAAATAAATAAGAATAGAAGAATACTAACCCTGGTGAGTAATATGTATGAATCTCTCTTGAAAAGTATACTTCATCCGTCCCATTTGATGTGGCAACATTTGATTCGACACGAAATTTAAGAAATAATGAAGACTATTAAATATTTATCAAATTGTCCTTAAAAAAAGTAACTCAATTTTCTCTCTCCTCATAAATATACTAGAAAATTAAGTGGGATCAATAAGGGTAAAAGAGAAATTATATCTTTAAATACTTACCATATAAGAAAATGTGACATTCTTTTTGTAACTAACAAAAAACGAAATGATGCCACATAAAATGAGACGAAAAGAATATTAGATTTTCTTTTCATCAATTGTTTGAGTGAAAACCACGTTTGGGATGTTTTACTTTTTCTGCTCTATAAAATGTAATGGCATTTTCCCCACACTTCACTTTACAGTCTGGCCCATATACAACAACAATTCCAATGTTAAGTGTTACGAGACAGTAAAATGTACACAAATATGATTACTATCTTAGTTGGACTCATATATATATATATATATATCACAAATGATTTAGCATTTTATAATTTCTTGGGTGATCTTCTTTATTTCCGCCATGCTTTTCAATTTACTTTTGTCAACATGTGAAGAGGAGAACATATTCCTAAAAAAACAAACATTATAAGCTATACACCAATTAAAAGTTAGAAACACTCCAAATTTGCTTATGCATAAATTCTTTTCGTAAATCACACCATTGAATTATAGTGTGGGTTTCCTATTTGAGTTATCACTAACTACTATCCAAACTTATTTAAATTATTATTGATTTGAGTTTCACGTCTTACTATTCCATCACAATTATTGAATACCGATTAATTAGTGACTTATTATTCATTCCATTAGTTGGGTGATTTCTACAATTATTGATCAAAACAAAAACAGTTTCTTCTAAAAATTCTTCCAGCTGTTTATTCACATGATTTCTCCAGTGATCACATGCCTCCTTTCCGACGCTTCACATGCACGCAACAATCTTCCCGCTTTTTTCACAACGTGATAAAAGCGCGTGTCTATCACGCACGTCAAACCCGCGTGACTAAACTTTTCAACATTAATTTGCTGTAACGGCGAACTAACTCCGTTTTCATTTTTTCCACCAACTATATAAACTTCAACTCCTCTTTCCTCCATTTTCCTAAACCAAAATTCTCTCTTCCACACTTTGATCCCATTCGTTCAATTTCTCGCGAAAACAGAAAGGCAAAAATGCGTGAGATTTTGCACATTCAGGGAGGCCAATGTGGGAACCAGATCGGAGCTAAGTTCTGGGAGGTTGTGTGTGCCGAGCACGGCATTGATTCCACCGGAAGGTACAAAGGGGAGAGTGACCTTCAATTGGAGCGCGTCAATGTCTACTACAACGAGGCAAGTTGTGGAAGGTTCGTTCCACGCGCCGTCCTCATGGACTTGGAGCCGGGAACCATGGATAGCGTTAGATCAGGTCCTTATGGTCAGATATTCCGGCCGGATAACTTCGTCTTTGGTCAGTCTGGTGCTGGTAATAACTGGGCCAAAGGACACTATACTGAAGGAGCGGAACTTATCGACTCGGTTATGGATGTTGTAAGGAAGGAGGCTGAGAACAGTGATTGCTTACAAGGTAATTTGGCTGTTGCTTTTCGTGCAGTGCTTTTCGATTCTATAACAGAACTTATTTTGTAACGTGTGGTTACTCGGACGGTGATCGGACTGTGTATGTACTTGTGCACGGTAGCAAAGTCACGAATTTTGTTAACGAAGTATGTTTAACTGATTATCCAGTGTGTTGTATGTATGTCCAACTTAAGCAGGAAATCATGTTTACGTCGTAACAACAATCCAATTTTATGTTTAGATGTTTGAAGACTGATGTATTCATCCCCTGTTAGAACAAATTTTTGTTAGGCTTCTAAGAGAGAAATGAAGTTTGTGCTTGCTATAATTTTGTTGATTATGTGCAGCAAATGGCTTGAATCCAAGTAAATTGTCTGTTTCTTTGATGAGCTTATGAATGTGGACTCTGTTTTTGATTTCAGGTTTTCAGGTTTGTCACTCTTTGGGAGGTGGAACTGGATCAGGAATGGGAACTCTCCTCATATCTAAGATCAGAGAAGAGTACCCAGACAGAATGATGCTTACTTTCTCTGTGTTCCCTTCCCCAAAAGTTTCTGACACTGTTGTTGAGCCCTATAATGCTACTCTCTCTGTTCACCAGCTTGTTGAGAATGCAGATGAGTGCATGGTTTTA